TACAGTAGATCAGTAAGACAAGACACAACAGTGGTAACTTTCACCCCTAGTCTGGATTGTACCCTTTGCTCTGATTCTCTGCTCCCACAGACAGAACTTGCTTCTCCTGCTGCAAAAGTAGTACCAGTCCACAACCTTAACCTTAGAAAAGCAGAAGTCCTTAGGGAAACTTAGTCCGGCAGAATCCAAGTCCTTTCTTCACTTAGCACTGGTATATTCTATTTATTTAGAAGGTCAGAATCACAGTTCATACTAGGAGTTAGAACCAGGCCCTAGATGTGCAAAGCAATCTTCAAGGATTGAATTAGACAACAGGTAATTACAGGGTCTTTTAACCCAGTCCTTAACCCAGTAATTCCGATTGTTTAAATAGAACTTGGCTAAGAACACAGACTCAAACTCACCAAGAGTGCAACCATCTCATTTTGTTTTATTTTAAAATTCAATCCTGTGACAAGCATCTACTGAGAGAAAACAGCCTACCAAGAAAAAGCGATTATATTCGGAGAGGTTTTAACAGGATTAAGAATGCTAAGTATGAAACTCCCATTTTTCAGATCTTGAGATTGCAATCAAACAGCCCCTCCTTGGATGTCAATGCAAAAATTATTGATTTTATTTTAATTGCACATGTGCCTTCTTGATATTTCCAAAGTTCCAAGAACTGACCCATTTGGATTCCCCCAAGGAACTTTTTATTCATATTATATCTCCTTTGTAATCAACACTGAGAAATGTCACTTTGATTAAACACAATTCTGAATGGCTAAGACCAGAGTACAATAAACTCTCCAGAGCTATCTTTCAGAACAACTGATTGCTCTCCAGTCTTAATCCCCCAGAGTCTTATTTAATCAAAATGATGTTGCTAATTAAGGATTAAAACTCAGAATAGAGTAAAAAGGAAGGATTTTTTTTTTTCTTCTCTCCTATGGGCAGGTCAAGGAGGCAGAATCTGCTCTAAGGGACTAAACAGTCTCATCCACCTTTGGTAAAGCTGCCTTATTCACTGAAGTTTGGATTTAATTCAAAACTCTTTGATATTAACATAATTGGAGGAAAAAAAATAGCCAGGAAAGCTATCCCCAAAGGAGGAGAAATCTGATTCACTAAGATCTTAATTGATTCTTCAGCATTGCATTGTTATTATGCAAATGTGCTCAGTTTGTATTTTAATAACTGTGTATGTATAGGGAAAGGAGAGAAAGGGGACAGTTTAGGGCTTATTTCACCCTGCCTTCAAGCAGGAATCTGGAGGTTCCCACTGCAACTTCTTTGATCCTTACTCCACAGTTTAACCAGAAAGTACAGGTGACTGTATGTAGGTAGCACTCCATGTTACAGAAGCAGTAAAAGCAATCATAATCAAAACCAACCTCTCTGATACACTGAGAGAAATAGCTACTATGAAAAAAAAATAATTTTAAGGACCATTTTAGGAACAATTTTTCCTCAAAGCTTTCTTGAATTTAAAATATTCAAATCAAAACACAAACATCAAGTGGTTTATCTGATGCCAAAACTTCACAGCAATGGAGCTGAAACAGAACAGCTGATCTCTAGCACTCACCTTAGTAGTTAAACACTACTAGCAATCTCTAGTTCCAGTACAGTCTACCGCTGCCTGTCATTGCTAAAAATTTACTCTGATGCAAATTTTAATATATCATTGAATTTTGCCACTTCTAGTTAGGGAGTAACAGCAAAATATCCTAAACGGATGGCCATGTTAAAGGTAGAAGACCAAACAGGGTATGTTGTTCTAACAGCAACTAGATTGTGAAGTCTTTGAGCATTTGGGAAAATCAGTTTATCACAATTCTGACTGAAGATTTCTGTAGGAGGCCAAAACAGATCATCACCTACTGGTTCTGACAAAAGGAAAAATTTAGGAAAAGTTTTTACAGAAATTCTTGGAAATTATCCCAAAATCTAAATGTTTTGCAGTTAAAACAAAACATGAAACCCACCATCTGTAGAATCTGCCTTCTAAGTTAGAGCATTGCCTTGAAATTCACTGCTATCATCCCCAAAAGATATTTAGCTGACATTAAGTTACCAACCAGTTGAAGAAAGAAAGTAGTTCCTTCAGTCCACAGTCCTCAAGGTTGTATGCACTTAATGGACAAACTATAGATCTTATGCCTCCTATTCCCAGGCTAGCTGTGAGTAGTGCAAAGTAGAATACTATTTTCTGCTCCTTTTTGGTTAGTGTATGAAGAATATGCCGTTTGTCAATGTAAATATCTTCAAAGGGGAATGCCACAAAGGGTAATAGTGCTGTGCCTGGAATTGGAAAGAAAATCATAATTTGAAATGGATTAGAATCAGACTGAGAATAAGACATTTTTTAAGCAGTTATGTTGAAAAGACAGATGAAAAAAATCAGATACACAACAGAAGAGTGCAAAGAGAGAGAGTCTTAATTCTGTAGAGAAGCAGAACCTTTCTGTATGTCACTATATATAGCGCTTTTAAGATTCAGGTTCTCACATCAACTGAACAGCTCACTATCTAGAAATGTAGCTCCTCTCACTGGTCTTCCCCATTGCCTGTGTCTAGAGGGCAGTAGCTCTCCACTTGCTAGAGGGCACCAGCCAAAACATGTAACCTGATGAACCATCAATCAACCAAAAAAACGCCACACCCCATCGTGGAGTGTAGCTTTTTTTTGCATCTTCTTTAAACCCCAGAAGTGTAATGGGAATAATAACTTGACAAACAAATTCTTAAAACTTTTGTGGAAAATTTTCTTTTTTCTGCTGCAGCTTCATGGAAAATACATGATTTTCAGAAACTTTACCTACAGAAGTACTGCCATGAATTGCATTGACCACCTCTAATCTTCAAAGCAAGTCTTTCAGATTTAATCAGCTACAGACTCTCCAAGTTGTAATTGGAGACTAAACTCAAAATATACTGACGTATTACAACACCAGCATTAGCCATGACTAAGACTATGATTGTGCATCAAACTCTAATACATCAGGAAACTTTAATGATCTATCTAAAAAAAAAAAAAGTTCAGGTATTGTTTTAACCAGAATACATCACATTCTGTTTGTGTCACCAGTCTCCTACTTTAAGATATGCACTGAAAGAACAAGTGCCAGAAGGAAATTCCAAACCAGAAGCCCATAGGAGAAACAGTGGAACATAATAGCAAGCATTTTTCCAGGCTGCTTGCACACTGGTTTTGCAATCAGCTCAAGAACATCTCAGGAAGAACTCTGATTTTTTCCTTACTCTGTCACATGTCTAAATAACAACGTGGCTGGCTATTATAGAAATCAGTCTTGCTTATGCTCAACAACTGGCACAGGTAGAAAGCATTTCTATCAGCTTGGTTAAAGCTAACAGAATAACCACCAGCTGTGAGATGCGCTAATTTCTACAGAACAGTCATACTTAGCTTGAACAGTGCTTTTATGTAAAAGATCTCCAGAACAACACATGGGGAAGAATCAGAATGTGGGAACAGAAAGCAGGCTCTCAATACAAGCATTAGGATACAGCCTCTCTACTTAAAGCAAAGTTTGATTAATCTGGTACGTGCTTAAATACACCTTTCCCTCTCGGCCAAATACAACATAGACCTTTACATACAATAAAATCTTACTAACAACAGCTGGGAAACAGTTTCCCAACTCTCTCTCAAATTCTCACTAAAGCCTTGCATTTGCCCCAAACACTAATTACCTTAAATGCTTGTTAAAGGGACCGGTTTTAAGAGTTGAGCATCCACGCTCTGAATAGCTAAGCCACTTTAGAGAAGTCAAGTTTGTGCACCAACTATCCACAAGATACACAGGCAAACAGTCCTTAGTCTTGTTCAAAGTACTGCCTCACAAAAATACATAGGCAAAAATACCACAGGGCATTTTGTAGAGGAGGAACTAAGTAATAAACTGCTAGAGAATGTGGCCACAAGGTTGGAGAAAATTGTTATATTTCAAAAACAATGCTCAGTAATGTACTTCTGCAACAGAACCACTAAAACATGAAAGAGTCACCAGGGTGTCACCTACCTAGGAAGTGTAGAAACATGCAGATGCACACAAGCTTGATCCTTCCCACAAGGCATTCGGCAAGCCAGCCAACCAGTACTGGCGTCAACATGGAGGTGCCTACAAAGCACATGTTGACAATAGCTGCCTGGTAGTTGCGATAGCCAAGTTTGACAGTGCAGAAGAGGATCATGTTGCAGACAATACCAAAGAATGTGAATCTCTCACACAGCTCCACCAACAGCACACAAATAGCCTCTTGGAGTTTCTTCTCAGATTGAGACAGGTTTCCAGCACGGTTGCTTCTCCCAGGTAACAGTTTTTGTTCCTTTTCAGCTGTGCAGTTCAAAAGTTGCTTCTCTTGCATATCTCTTCTGTCTGTACCAGGCATGCTTGTCTTTTTTTGAGTAAGACTGAATAGAGCAGCTTAGGTTACAGGTATACTTCTGTTCTCCTCCGCTGTAATTAGCAAACTGGTAAGGCTCTCACTTTGAATTCCACACTTCACTACTACAATTTCTTAGGGCACCTGTCACTTTTGTGATATTACATATAGGATCAAAGAGTATATATAAAAAAACCCCACAAATATCAAAGAGCCATATCAACATTTCACCTTTTGAATTTAGCAACACTCAGGAACTTAATCAGTTGATTTAATTAGTCCATTTGGAGGTGAACAAGATTTTTCCCCAGAATTATATTAGCTATTAAATTATGTGAATCCAATACTGTATGTGCAACTTTATCTCTATGCTAAAGATAAAGGTTTAAATACACATGAAAGCTAACATTTCCAGCAGAATTCAAATAATAGATCAATAAAATAATTTGGTTAAAATGACCTGATACTTTAATTAGACAGCAAGTGAAAAACTGCAAGCAAAGATAGAAGGATTTTTTTTTTTTTAAGGTTAACAATATCTAATCATTACAACATTTCTTGTTATTTTTGGCTGAAATTCAGATAAAGTTATTTATAAAAATAAGTAATGCTACTACATTTAAGTCAGAAAAACACATTTTAAAAGAAAGTAAGTTGAATGTATTAGCAAAGGAAAAAAAAAATTCAAAAGCAACCTAAACCAGAACTGTTTCTCTAGCCAGATATTGCACCATAGCTGCAATGCATTATGATGGGCAGGGACACAGATGATGTGTTCTTTCATATCAACCAAAAGAAATTACAAGACTGAAAGGAAATTGGGAAGAGCCAAACTTATAGTGCTTTATAATGCTTCTGCTACCTCATCCACAGAGAAGTTTGCAGATTTACCAGATCAGTTTCTCCATTTTGTTGAGCTCATTAAGATCATTAACACCTGTTCAAGATACTCTCAACTACAAATGAGATGCATTCTGCATTTATTTTGCACAAACATGAATGTATACATGCATTACAAGGCAGTGGTGAATCAGGTCTGCTTCTCAAAGTAGAGTTCTCAATGTCTCTGATGGCATTTTTAGAGACATAAGCTCTGCTGTTTGTTTCCATCTGTCCATATAACTACTCAAATTTTACCTCTTCAGATCTATTTAGTACATGAGAACTCCTACATTCGAAAACAGATGCACAGCAGTATATAACCAGTATAGATAATGACAGATTCCAAGATCACTTCCCCCCCCACCAAAAAAAAGCAACTTTGATTCAACCACAAAGCCTAGAAGCTCTGAAGCGTAATTCTAAGTAGCAATTGCTCCCTAAAACAATTCTGATATATATTTTTTTTCAATGTAGTATGAGTCTAAAGCAAGAGCTCAGACAGAAAAGAACTGATAGTGTCTTTTTCAGAGACATCCAGCTGAGGATGAAAACAGCTGTGACTTGTAGTATGCCAAGAACTATTTCTGTCTTCTAATCTACGACAACTAAAATGATCTTAATTTGGACAAACCAGCCACTGAAATCCAAACTAGAAATCACTTATAACTCAGTTTAGCTTCTCCATCAAAGCCTAATGAAGCCAATCCCAAATCAAAACAAGACAGACAAGAGTATTTTAACTAAAAGGCATATATATTTTCTGTTGCATGAAACTACTCTTATCTAACTGATCATGAAGAAAATTATTTTTTTTCTTTTAAGGAAACACAACTGCATTTTTGAATCAGATAGAAAACATCAGAATACACCCTTGCTCCCATAGACACTTCAATGTAAAATAGTCTGTTTGCCTACAAATTATTTTTCTTTAAAGAGTGTGAAGTTTACCTGTTCTCATGGGTTCTGGCAATTCAAAGTGAAACATATCATAGGAACCAGTAGAGACAGAAGGGTTGCTAAGTGGGATGGCTGTATCTTAGTCCTCATGTGGCTTCTTTTAACTTAATTTTGGGTTACAAGACGGGGAAAAGGAATAATTGATTGAGCCTTATAAATGCCACAGAAAGAAGGAGGTGGGTGATTTTCATTGTTACTTTTGAATTGCCTTTGCATGTGACTTATTAGGTGTGGTGGTTACAATCGTCACAGATCATCATCAGTACATGAGTTAACATGCTCTATGTTAAAGGAATACACAACTTCATATAACAATATGATCTTTATTGACTTATTTTAATCACTTTTGCTGCAATTATAAGTGGTCTATCTAATTACTCAATGTGCTTTAGTTGAATTATAGTTGAATCACCTGGCATTCACTTGGCTTATTCTTAACACAAAAGATAGTAGGACTGCATAATGCCTGATGAAAACCTGTATTATTTGTAGTAACATATATAGAGCTTTATACATACTGAAGCAGCTAGAAACCAGCTGCACCAAATAACTGCTATTTCAAGATCTGACCCTTCTGACAGTACCTCTGCCTGCCAGTAGTTTGTGTATTTTTTAAACAAATCTTTAAAGGATAGCTCTCAAAATGGGACAGTCCAATCTTGGAGAGAGGTTTATAAAAATACATGCTCTCACGTGGCAGTGTCGGCTCACTAGAGGTCTGGCCAGTAACAAAAGTGTTGCTATTTGGTGGCCTATCACCCAAGGTAGAAGGTTACTTCTACTCATGCTGGAACCTAGCATTGGGTATGTGAATTAAGTTGAACAGGTTGGAACTGAAATTTTCTCCTAATTTTCTCTGACAAGTGACAGTTGTCAGTGTTTTTATTATGACAGTAGTTTATTGAAATTGAAGAGGCAGAACTTCAGTGTCCAGCACAACAGTTCCTCTGGCTAAAAGGCAGGAGTGTCTCTAGACCTCTGTTTGTGTTCTAGAAGGGTCAGACTCTCTAATGTTTTAGTAAATTTAATTCAGCTTTATTCATACTCTTTAGAACATGTGAGAGGTGTTACCCTTCATCATAGCAGCAGCTGTGGCTCCTGATAAATATCTGGGGCAGAAACATAATTGACATGCACAAGACTAACAATTCAACACAACAGTTTTGACACTGTAAATAAAAAATTACATGTGTTAAATCTTGCTGGTTAACACCAGGATTCCCATTAACTTGCATGGGTTGAGAAGCTGTCTCACTGACCACTGACCCCAGGACTGCAATTTCAAAGTCAGAAGAAAGGCAGAGCAAAAGCTTTGGGTGAGAGCATTGCCAAACAGAGGCAAACATGCCTGGGGTTTGCTGCCTGATGGTGTAAACACAGGTCCAAGGTGGTCGGTTGAGCAGGCAGCTACAGTAAAGAAGCAGAGCTCAAAGCTGGCTAAGAGAAAGGGAGGAAGCAGGAAAATGCTGCAATGACAATTTTGGAGGAATGCTTCTGTCACCAAGTGCCTTGCTACAGCTCCAGCTGACTAATTAGAAGAGTTACAAGGTTAATGACAGAAAAAAGAGATGCGGTAAAAGCACAGGCTAAGACTAGACTTCATGCTTTTCAAAATCACCACTTTAATTTGCTTCTTTTATGTGTATGAAAAATGCTCAATTTAATACATAATAGCAGTTACCAGGCCAAGTTTGGTTCCTGCAGGATGCCCTTCAGCAAGGGCAGCTAACCACTGCTTTCTGCAGGTACTGCTCATGCCTGCTTTTGTCTAGGGCAATGTCTGGCCTCAGAGAAAGGGTCAGGCACTCTGATATTAGGTATAGCCTTCTCTCTTTTTTTCCTTCCCTGCTGGTACATCTATAGTAGGGGGAAAATCAACAAATGCAAATTAACAGTCTTTTGAGGTATAAAAAATCAGTCCCAGAAGCTGTGGTCTTGTACAGGTTGGAGATGACCTGCCACTCACGAATGTGTTTCACAGAACTTCAAATTAGCTGTGAGGACAGAGTTTAATTGTAGAATAGGAAAAGCAAAAGTTCATTTTCAATAAATAGATTTAACTTCCAGTATGAACTTTCTTTGTCTTTTTGTGTCAACTTTTAATGTTCTTTTTTATCTCTTTTTTTTTCATCTTTAGGTGACACTTCAGACAATGCCTTATTTCCAATGTCCTATACCCTATTTCACAGGTGAATAATGAAACCACTTCTATTTAAAATGTTACCTCAGACAACCATTTTAGTGATTTCTGCACTGCCTGTCACTGAAGTCTCAGCGTACTCTGGCTTCTATGCAGATAGCCTTGAATCAGAACTGGGACAGAATATGATAGTGCTTCTTTTGGAGTTCACAGCATTTGAAATTGTATCTGATGCTTCTGAAAAACTTCATCAGCATCAGCAAAAATGCTGACTAATATTTGTCTGACTCCATACTAGAAGAACAAATACAAAGCCCAAGTGCTCTGTGAATCATGCAAAAAGTCAAATAAGAATCTGAAATGTAGTCATGGGGTGGTTGAGAAAGCTTGTTTGTGAAATGTTAGATTAGCAAATCTACTCAAAGTTGATTTATATTTTATAAAGATTTATTGAATGTTATAAAAGTATACTTTGAAGGCTGAAAAATAGCATCTATGAAATAACCAGCTATTAAAATTACTGATTATATATTTTTTCTGGGAAGTTCTGTGACTATGGTACCACACTGTGTTTGAACAATGTTACTCTCCCTTTGGTAAGTACTCTTGCAAAACCTTCCACACTTTAGCCAAATGCAGCCAGGAACCTTAGCCCACTTCTGCCTTCCTGCAGGACAGATGTAATGCCTGTTTTGTTCCATGGCAACTTTTGTCTGTGAAAGTGCAAAACCAGTGTAAGACTTCTAATTTAGGGAAAAGCTGTATTTTAAGAAGAGTATTTGTTTATTTTTCCTTGTGTAGTCATAATTAAAAATTATGTGGGAAAGCCATTTTCTTCTTCATTCTGCCAAAAGGTAACATACCAGGAAAGAGAATCAAATCCCTTTCTCAAGAATGTGGAAGAGGTCCCAGTGGAGAGTTGCAGAAAGGACCTCTTCTGCAAAAATCTTTCTTTTCTCTGCTTGTACTACAAAAGACAGGTGTAGCCATTTCTCCCTGAGTCCTACTTTTTCCCCAGTGTATTTTT